AATCCTTTCACTTAGGCTTTCAAGCCACTTTTCTAGTTTACTATTGCCCTCATCTTGTGACCTTTTTCTTCCCCTTTCTTAGTTGATTTCATGGCCTCATGTAAGAGGTTTAAAACTACTTCAAAACAGTCCTCAAATCTCACATTTTCTGCTCCCAAAATTTCAGCACTTCAACCCCTTGCTTAGCTTGAGTTTTTCTAGCTTATACTTAACCTCTGGCCTTCCATTTGGCTTTATTATAACACCAAATTTTAACTACATACCAAGCCATTTATTAACCTCGAACTATAGTCAAAATTCAGTTCACTTCAAACCATAAAAAGGGTTGACGAAAACACCCTTGTTGCTGAATTTTGTTACAAACACGTAAACCCTAATCTGAATCTTGTTTTAAAGCTAATCTCCTTAACCTTAATCCACTCCTAAACCCCTTATTTGATTCTAGCTGCATCTCCCCTATTTTCTGTACTCAAAACAGCACCAAAATTGACAACAAAACCATAGATAAAATCCAAAAATCAAAGCCTACAATAGCCCTAATTCAATTCCACAAAACCTAATCAAAATTTGAAATTTTTCCTTCACTTTAGGGTTTTGGTTTCTCCCCCTAATTTCAACACTTAATCAACTCCAAATCTGGAAATTAAACCGATTAAATTGAAAAGAATCAAGAGTTCTACCATGATCCATGAGAAGATTTCACAAAACCATGACAAATCAACCAAAATCCTCACCTTAGAGCTTCAATTTTGCCTTGCTTCCTTCTCCCCTTTTTCTTCACCTTTTACTTGAGTAAGCAGGCTGGTATATTTATAAAGCCCTCAAAGCCAATCAAACATGAAGCACACAACTCACAAGCACACACCTCACTTGATGTTACCAAATTACCCTTATTACCAAATATTTGTTCCCTTTGTGTCCCCTTCACCTACTTACTTCCCTAACTTACCATTTTGCCCTTTAAAAAATCATTTAATGCCACTCTTGTCCCTTTGATTTAATGGTTTAAAACTATGGTTAAGTCACTAATTAACCACACTAATATGAAAATCTACCACTTTTGCTACAATTTCTTAGGTTTTCTTCCAAATTTTTGCCTTGTTTTCTAATTTATTTTCACCACCAAATGAAATTCATTTCTTCACGTCTCTCAAGGCCACAATAACATTCTTCAAGCTCATAAACAATAAAAATTATATTAACTAGCACTTGATTACAAATTTTACAAAATATGCCATGAATGCCTATGTATGTACAATTATGTAAATAATAAAGGAATAATAACTCTAGGGTTGGTTCTGGGTTTTGAATATCACAATATGTAACTAGAAAGATTTTGAAAACATGGTTTGTACCTCACAAGATTCATGTTCACTTTAACACAAAGATATATGAAATGATGTGGATGTATATTTCAAAAGGGTTACATGTGAATTCAATTAAATTGGTTGTTATTACAATTGGTGTTGAAACTATGAAATGATTTGATATATATTTCTACATGGAAATTCTAGAGGATGTTTCTATGATGATGAATTGGAGACATGAATTCTGTCAAAAGTGGTTTGATGTCGAATGTTGATGAGAACTTTATTGACATTGATATATGATTTGATATTAAACTCTAATAGATGTTTTAAGGAGTTACATTAACAGAACACTACAACTAACGACAGTTGGTGTTAAACTTGGTACACCTTGCATAGATATTGAATTCCCAGCCAATAAAAATGACATTAGACTCCCATATGTGACCAACATAGTTGCACATATATGAATATCAATATTATCCCTCAGAAGGTGAGGTCCTTTGGAGATTTGTATTGTAGCAGTGCCTGACGAATTTGAGAATATGGTTCTCAAGTAAGTTGAACTAGTCCTCGATGGACATGTGATCATGGTTCTATATTGTAAACTCCCTACTAATGTGAACCACACAAATATGGAAGTTGAATGGAAATGTGATTTTTCATTATAGGTGCATGGTATTGCATGATTTACTTTGACTTAATATAGTTTGAAATGTTACTATGTGATATGAGATGATCTGAAATAAAACTAAAAGAATTGCTATATTTTTAAATGATATATATTACTTGTCACTTGTGGCCATGAATGCATATTATCCCTCATTGAGTTGTCAAACTCACTCATTATCTTTACATTTCTCAGATACTAGTTCTATTCCTCTTATAGAATCAATTACCTGACTTGGCAACTAGACTTTTACCTTGGTGAGCTCCACAAGATGTGTGGGCACATTTTAAACTACTTATACTTTTTGATGCTTTTTCCATCTCGAGTCTCATATGTATATAAGAATAGTTTGTGTCTAGAGTTACTTTTTAACCATTAGATAGGTCTTGTGAAAGTGCCTTAATCCTATATAGTTATTTATAAATGCTAGAATGCATTGGAATTGTAGATACTACATGTGGTGTGTTTGAATGACTGAATCGATATAAAGAAGATATTTGCATATGTGAAATATGCCCATAATAAGGGAGAGATTCTGTCAAAAATTTCAAGGAGCCCTATACTCAATTTATTATCTCATCAAGGAATTATAGAGGCTAACTAGGGAAGACATAATTCTCCCTAATGCTAGTCACAAGCCCCAAGTTTGGGTCATGGTACTAAATTTACTATATATCTTTCTATTTGTTTTTCACTGTAACTTTGGTGATTTTAACCTTAAATTTAAAAGTTGTTCCCGATCCAAAAGTTCTTTCCTTGTAATAAATTTTGTCATTCCCCCTTTTCTTTAAAATTCCTAAATTTCTTCCCAAATTTGTTTAAGAAGTTTTTTCTGCACAACTAAATATTTACAGAAACAGCCATATTAAAAAATTAATAGTTTGAAAGAGAAGTGATATACTAAGGAGTTCAGATAATTTTGTTTTTACTAAGATATTTTATACAAGCATGATTTAGTTGTAAAACACAAGGGTTAAAAAACTGGACCGAAATTGGTCAGTCAGACTATCAACTGTCCTTTTTTAGGTTCAATTTTCATAAAAATTGGTGAGTATAGAAAAATCAATTAAACATTCGAATTGTTGGCCAAATCGCTTGGACTAGTGAACTAATCATTGTTCATTTAAATTGGATTGTCTAGATATTTTTTTTAGTTTTCATCTCAATAAAATGAAATTCTTTTTTGTTTTCTTCCTTCTCTCTCTTGAACTTAGCCTCAAACCTAACGCTCCCTATTGATCGAGCTACTACCTAGCCTCAATCAAAGTTGCTTGATACAGTTAGCTTTCATTGAGCCACTATGATTTAAATGATGCTGTTGTCAAGCATTCTCTCCACTGCTTGCCGAGTAGCCTTTGTGCCACATTCTTTGTCAACCTTCCTTTCCTTTCTAGATTGTACTCCCCTCCTTTGAGCTCCCCACTATTGATATTCCCTCCTCTTTATTTTGTGTGTGTAGATGACATTATCAACTCAATTACAGTTCAATTAATAGTTGTACCAGTAAATCATGAATCAATAATTTTTCCAAGTCAATGAATGATCAAGTATTTTTAACCTTGGCAAGACAAATGTCTAACTTCAATTTACTCAATTCTAACGTCCAAGCTACTTTCATATTAATTTAATAAAAGCTTTTATTTTAATTATTGTCCATTTTATCTTTATTAATTTTATTATTTAATTTCTTGTTAACTGATTGAATCTTATTCTAATCAATGTTTAAAATACCAAACCAGACTAGCCAATTAAACCAATTAGACCATTGACTGTCACTCTTTTTTGTTCTTTTCTTGCTAACAACTAGTGAAGGTAAAAAACCATTCTATTTGTTAAAATTCACCTGAACCAAAGGTTAAACTATTTATCTGGTGAACCATCTACAGCTCTTTTAAATCGGATGGTCTACATTTTTCTTACATTCTTTTTCCACAAATCGACTTGATTTGAACCCCCACCTCTCTGAAAGACTCTTGTCGTCACCTTGCCTGGCCTCGTCATCGCCATCACCGCCACCTCTACTACTTCTTTTTTGTTGTTTGTTGCTGTCACCTCATCTATCTTTTTATTCTAACTTTCCGCTTCACCTGCCTTCTTAATTTTTCATATTCTAGCTTGCCACTACTATTCTTCTTCTTCCTTGTGTGGCTGCTACCTCTTCTACGAGAAACCTAACAATGATTCCCTTGTATTTGTGACCAAGAACTCCAACTTAATCAAGCCTAGAGGGTGTTTAAAAGGAAAGGTAGAGAGGGTTTAAGAAACAACTTTCAACAATGAAGATAAAAAGTGCAATTGCTGTTGTTTGCTACTTAGTCCTCTAAAATAGTCTTGGTTTTTCAAATGTGTCTGAAAACTTCTAATTCACTCATATATAAATTTCTATAACTTCAAATTTATTCAATTGAACCCCAGCTTCAAATTTGTTCAATTTAATCCCTATAACTTATAAAATTTTTACTTATCATAATTATGGTTCAATTACCAACTATTTATAAACTAGAACTTTTTCAATTAAATGAACAGTCCAGAATTAATTCTAACTTAAATTTCTTTACGTTTTAAATCGATTGACTAAAAATGTTCAAAAGTATTCATTTAATTTTAAATTTTAAGAACAATGATTCTCCCAGCCCTAACACGCCCTAACATTATGTCAATAGCCAAAATTACGCCCCAGATTGTACCAACACAAACAAAACATTGATTTCGTAGAACATTTTTCTTTGGCAATCAAATATCTTTCTATAATTTGTTTTTTTTTAAACGCAAAAAAATTCTCCATAAAACGATTTTTTAAAACAACCCACCAAATGGGTTTTCCATTTCAAAGAAAAAATGTTTCAACAAATAAATTCAAATAGCAAACTTATACATGATTAGATATGTGAAAAATATTGGGAAAAAGTACTCAATGTCCTTCCCATCCAGAAATCCAGGTTGCAAGCCTTGCAGATAGACAAAACTGAGAACTTTGAAATTGCAAAATATTATCTGAATTGCATCCAATAATCGTTACAAGATTACTCTTCCATGAGATTTTCTTCGGACTGCTGCTGCCACTGTGTAACCTTGACTTTAATCTTTGGTAACGTAAGAGAAGGCTCTTGTTGGAGGGCTGCAGGTGCCTTCACCATGTGAATGCTCTGCTCCAGTTCCTTTACTGCCTCCTTCATCTCCTTTGCTCTCTTTCCCTTCATTCTGTATAGTTTCCATTTTCCACCAGATATTGTTGATCAGGCCAACAAAAAAACAGATCTGTTTGGATTTGTATTCTGTAGTCTATTTTCTGTATTTAGTTTCGTTTCTTGTGCTTCCAGAAACAAAAAGCATTAGAAATATAGGAACTCTGATTTCATAAGAATTCTGGAAACTTGTTTCCTAAAAAAGAGCCTTTTTAAAAAAATTCTTTTGAAAACAGATTCTGAAATTAACTTGCCAAACAGATTTTTTGTTTTCCAAAACAGAGTGCAGTTCCCAAAAACAAATTCAAACAGAAAATCAAAAATGCTCCAAGGCAAATATAACAAAAGAAAATGGGACCTTTGTGCATGATGTCTGGCCTCCCTGTCAACTCTCACTTTATCAATCTTTTTAATGGCCTTCAGCGTGTTCTCAGTGAGATTCCTGTCATATCTCTCGGGCCTATTCCGCTTCCTCTCAAACTCAAAGGTTGAATCCTAATGAATAATAGAAATACAGAACAGGAAGAACATAGGGTACCATGTTTATGTCATTAATGCCATGCAATACATTAATTAATAAATAGAAAAGAGGAATGAGAAGTAAAATAATACTAATAGAAAGTTTATTTACCTGTGTCATATCTTTTCCATGTAACCGCCTATAAGCCTTTGTCCACTTCACTTTACGGGATTCCTCTTCATCTTAAAGTTTTTGTGACATTTAGATCTACAAAACCTGAATATCTGCATTGAATTGGACACACGACGTCCTAAGCTTGATGGCTATATGACATTTACACTGAATTAACATTTGACAACATCATAAACTATGAATCACAAGGCAATATACCAATTCTGATCAGAATGATAAACCTACCAAATGGCCAACTTATTCTGACCATAGTCCTATTTTGTTCAAGCTATATATAGCAAATTCATTTAAAGATTAAAACATTACATTCCAAATAGACACAAACTTTAGGTGCATCCATATAAAATAATTCTTTTTATTAGAAATTTCATTAGGCACATGATTATACACTAAAAATTAATGAAATATTCCCTTTTTAATTCACAGGTGTATGTGATTAAATCAAAAGTAAAAGAACTAGTTACCAGTAATTGGCTCATTATTTAAAAGGCTGCTTCTGTTGGGTCTCATATATTGCAAAGAGGTTTTGGATTTCACACCAGTTGTTATCAGGCTTTTTAATAATTGATTAAGAATTAAGCTTGGTAGATAGCCAAGAAGGAGTTCAGCATTGCTCCTAATATTTCCCAGTTTAATCAGTGAAAATACAACCTAATACCAGCATGTAATCCAAGAAAGATAAATCAAGTGTCAAATGTTTGTTACCTTGGCATCATTCCTAACAAACTGAATACCATGTCCAGGATAGATAGTAGAGGAGCAGAACCAGCAATTTTCCAACCTCATTGTGCCTTTAGGTTAACAAGACCCTCTATTTTCTGCAAGAAGCAACGCTACAAATTTAACAAAACAAATATTAACAAGCGTATGGCACTTAGCCCCCAATAAAGCTCCTGCTAATTACAGAATCCCACCATAGGAAATTGAGGAAGAGAAAGTGAAATTATGAAAAATTGCCAATTAATTATAGGAAACAAAAACTATAACTGGAAAATCACTAATAACCAGAACCAGCATATAATCATGAACCAAGAAAAGCAAAAATCAATTTGCCAATATTGGGAAAGCCACGCCTGATATTTCACAAAGCTATGAATAGGCACCCTTGTAATCCATAACTAAAAGTATGATAAATATAAATTTATTTTGTGATAGTCTGCCCCTATTGAATTGTCATATATTTAGTAGTATCAAGAACAAGCATTATTATGCAACATCAACCACATTGGAAGGTGAGTTGAGGAGCTCACCATCAGGTCAACTGATCAAACTGGACATATTTAAGTAAATTAACTGAACTTTGTACTAAAGAAATATCACATGTATTCAAGGGGAAGAAAAGAATTCTACAATACTTTGGCTTAATATAATTAGCCTAATTTAACATATCAAAAGCTTCAATTTTAAATACCTACTAAGCTACAATAACAAAGTCCATGGCTTCCATTAGAAACTTTGCCATCCAAGTCAAACAACACAACCAAGTAACTGCTTCAATGTTTGAAGTTTAAACTACCCAGGTCAAATATCATAAACCCAGTTTTGTCCATCAGCTCCTTTGCCAGTCCAACCCAATTGCTGAACCAACCAAATCTTGATCTAGAGGTACAGTTCAAAGATCTAGGATAAGATGTTATGTGGTAAAACATATTGTGGACTATATCTTGCTTAAGTCTAAATCAAAAAATGGAAATAACACAACTTTATTGTACGCAAACTTTAAAAATAGAACATCTATAATCAAGCTGCATAGCAATTAACAATATAGAACTAATTTTCTTTTAGAATGAAGATTCAATAGGCTTTTGACAGGCTATTATGATGCATAAATTCGAACTAAAATGACAGTAAGGTTTAATATCTGTACTTGAAGTAAAGAGTGAGACCTTTGATTGTCTTTAAAAGCAATTTCTGCCTGCATGTGAAGAGGTAATTCTGAAATCAAACATGCAATATAGTCACTGTTGTCTGACCATTGGGCACCAAACGGATTAAAGCTACGCGAGCAAATAGGCCATAGTTTAGTATCTTGTTTACGAATATCTAAAATCAGCATCAATCACAAAAAATAGCACAAATGTTTAGCATAATCAGGATCATCAAACACCCAAAGTGAAGGTCAGGAAGTCATAATCAGTGGGGAAATCATAAAGGGAACATAACTTAACAGAATGCATTACCAGGCAGATACGCTACCAAACAGAACCTAAAAGATGCATCACCAGGTATATGGCTCCAAAAAAAATAACAAATCAACACAGAATTAATGCCTTGCGAATTCGACGTCACTCATATCAACAAATCAAGTTAGTCGGACAATAAACCATATATATAGATACATGTACAAATAGAGAGTAAGAGATACTACGATAAGGATCGAGAACGAGACCAAAGGCAAAACTGAAGAAGCCAAACGAGTCGTCGCCCGTCCGAGTCGAACTCCAAGTGGAAGCTGCACTAGAATTTCAATTCCGACTCCAACTCGAAGCAGAGAGCGCGGCAAGGTGAGGCGAAGTAACTAAGGTTTCAAACTCGAAGCTTAAAGGTTGAGGAGGGTTAGAAAGAGAAGGAAATGTTACTAGGGTTTCTATTCGAGCTCCAAGTCGAAGCTCGAAGCAGAGAGGCCCACTGGGTGAGGCAAATCGAAGACGACGAGGAAACAGAGTGCCTCACCGGCTGGAGGAGGCGAGGCCGCGGAGAGGTCTAGGGTTATGCCGACCTCAAGCTCTGAATACACATCGTCATAAAGATGGGGGGTAATGCGGGAATATAATTTTATAGAGAGGGGGTAACAAGGCAAGTTTGTATTTCAGTGGCACGAGGTGAAGTACGAACGTTCAAAATCGAATCAAATTAATTAACAGACTTAAATCGATTAAAAATTAATTAAAATTAGTTTAGTTTAATTATATAAAATTATGAACTGATTGGATTGATTCAATTTGAACATCGTCTATTATTTTCATTTTATTTATTTAATATATAAATTATTTTTTACTATTTTTCATCTAAATTTATTGCTTGTACTTAATTTAATTTTTTATTAAAAATTATAAATTTGATATTTGATTTTATTCTCTTTTATTTTTATTTTAAAGAAAAATATGTTTTTTTTGAAAAATAAATAAATCAATCGGTCAACCAAATCAAACCGATTTCATTCATATTAGTTTAGTTCAATTTTTGGCCAAGAAAAATTAATCATATCTAATCATATCCAAAACTGGTATGTTCAGTTTAGTTTGGATAATGTTCGAAACTAAACCAAATTGAATCGATGAACACTCCGAAGGTGAAGATCAGATCGGAATTGCTAGCACTTTTTGAAGCACTAATTAAAATTAAAAATTTTTCAATAGCCTTTTGAGATGGAAAATTCTTTGCCAAGTGGGGCGGGGATTTTGCCATCCCTAGCAGTGCAAACAATAATTTTGATGGCCATTTTATTGTAATATTGTATATATTTATTTATTTAATAGTTGTTAGAATCATATTATTCTTGATTTAATCTAATAATTTAAGTATTTCTTTTTTTTTTTTAAGTGTGGTCATCCATTTTATCTTCTAATATTAATTTTATTCAAATGCCGTAACTACCTATTTTTAAATGTGCATTTTCAAATATTCAAATCTTGTTCTTCTCCATAAATATAAAATTGTGTTATTACTTTATACCAAACCCATGAATTATCAAGTCAAGTCTATAATTTCAAAATGATTTTATATAAATTTTTGATTTTGAAAAACTTCAAACTTAGAAAAGATAACATTGAAATAGAATTTCTAGAAACTCATTTGACATTAAAAAAAATTGATTTAAAATCTGGTTACAACTTTAAGTCAAATTAACACGTTAATTTTCTGGTACGGAGAAATCCCATTGTGTCACACACCATCTTGCTCACTAGGTGAGAGATGACAGTTGAGGCAGCAACTAACATATCATTATACCAACAACACAATAGCATGTTATCTATTGTAACTCTTGTCTCATATCTGTCTCAAGTAAGCTTATATAACCTGTATGAGATAATACACTTCTAAGTCCAAGTGATACTTCCAACTAACCATATAATCTAATCATGCCCCATAAAATAAAATATAATCCACTGTCATTATATAATCATTTAATACCTTGACACATTCCCAATCATCCAAATGTAACCCACTCATCAGCTATCTACATTACCACAAATATCCACTCTATTACATCAATCACATGAATGCTTGTATTAGCCCAACCTCTGTTAAATATACGAGATGTTGATGAGATGCTACTATTATAGGCTATGTTCTTTCAGAATCTGCATGGGAAAAATGAAGGAGTGAGACATGTGTTCCAGTTAATGGCACACAACCAAATCTTAGTAAAAACAATCATATTTTAATACTATAGTGTATGTAAATACTTTTTCATAAAATTCTCGAGCAAGACACAACAAATGAATCAATATCGAGAAAATCAAATCCGTGTAATAATATCAGCCATAATGAAGCAACACAATTTGAAAGTATCAAATAATCACAGAAAATATAAGAAATCCTCAAGAATTATAGTGCATATCATGTGTGTAGTCTGGGCAAATGTGCACACCCGAATATGGTGCATCTAGGGTAGTAAAACATAAAAGTCATGAAAATCAATAAAATAGTTCGAGCGCTATTACACTGTGTAATCTATATCAAGGATTGCTGCTGTTCCCTCGCCCAAACTAACATAGTCTGCAGCCTCTAAGGATCCCCTATCGGATCCGAATCCATATCATATATATGTAACATCATAGTATCATGCATGTAGAACTACCACCTACCCCGAGTGGCTGCCCAACATTCCTACTCCGGTGCCGAAACACAAAATATCATGAAAACCATCAAACCAAGTATATAATAGAAACTAAAACATAGTTGACCGTTTCCGTTTTCTTAATATCAACATACAAGTGATTTTAAAAATAATTATCATTGGTTATAAAATATATTTAGAAAAATAAATTAAGATTAAGAAAATACTATTCACTGTGTGCAAGTCTATGAATGCACTATTGGGTCTGCCTAGTCAAAGCTCAATACTGCTTTCTCAGCTATGTTTACAAGTGAAAAGTGGGGTGCAACATGAGTAAGATGCTATGCACATGTGATGCATGGATGCAAA